AAAATACTTAAATACTGTATTTCAGCATTTGCCTAGTTTATAAATTAGCACCCTTCCTTCCCCCAGTTAAAAATGTAGTAACTTACGCAGGCTGTTAAACAGTTGCAAAGTGAACAAGTCACGAGATGTAGATTCATAATAATTCATAATGTAATTCACGGGCAGTAGCCTTTGTCACAATCTGCTTGACTCTGTTACTTCAAAAACAAAATACACCTTTTTTGCCAGTAAAAGATATATTTGTTTTGAAAACTGGAAAAATATACCATGCGTTCTAACTGCTTGTAAAACAGGCTTCTCTGTGTGTGCTGTTGCAGTTAGAAATCTAAATCGATTATTAAGATTCACTTGCAGTCGTACACACAGTTAGAAAATACTCAATTCTACTGAACTCGGTAGATAGACATACGATTGTGCCATAAGAAATAATAACATTAAAAAATATAAAAAATCATTATACGTAAAAAAATAAGGCCTCTATTCAAAGCTTACTGTTTAGAACAAAATAATATTGATTGTATTTTGAATTAATGTAAAGTGAATTGGATAATTTTTAATGGTTGAGGTACATTGCTACTTCTTACTAAGGTTCATACATTTTCTGTTAATTGTGTAACTGCCAGGACTGAACATCTGAAGGATTAATTTTATTTTTTCAAAAAGTTACTTCAACTTCATATTTGCTACATAGAATATATTAATTTGTTATAAAGACATGATTATATTATTGGCCTTTGGCTAAGATGATATTCCTTGACTTCACTTCCCTCTTCTCTGGATATAAAATAAACATTTCTGGCATTGGACAATTATTCCTTCTACAGAATTTAGCTGTATACTGTAAATTACGTTATTTGAAGACATGACCCTATATAACTAAAACAGACACCATTGCATTGCATGCAGTCAAGTCAATTCCAACTTATGGCAACCCTTTCTGGGGTTATAGAACACACAGAAGTGGTTTACAATTCCCTTTTTCTGTGGCTGCCCTGGGGCTGTGCAGCTGGCCCATGGCTACACAGGTTGGCTTTACTCCAGGAGTCATAGTGGGGAACCGAACTCCCAGCCTCTGGCCCTGCAGCCGGATACCTAAACCACTGAGCTGTCCAGCCAATATCAAAACAGACATAGGGCCACTAAAAGTTGTTTTATTTAAAGACTTTTAGATCATTAGTCTATCTAGGTCATGATTATCAACACTCAACAGCTGGAGCTCTCCAGGGTTTCAGAGGAGACTTCTTCCCTGGCCATGCCTAGAGATGCTGGAGATTCTCGTACCTTCTGCTGCTGAAACTTAGAAAAATTACATTTTGGGACAACGACTCCCCAGGATCTTAATTTATGATTCTCAGAGTTGCAATTAAAAGGAAAACAAACAACAAACAAACAAACAAACTACTGGCCACAGCGACAATGGTGGTACCAGCCCAATACAAGACATTAAGTCCCATTTAGTTGTTCACCAATCCGAAATCATCAACATGGTTATAGAGGAGAGGCTTCTTTTTCATTACTTTGCTTATGCAATGAGCAACAAATTTGAGGTTCCTGCTCTTGCGTTTCCATGCTACATGCTCTTGCTTGTGTGTAGAGTGAACAGACAGTGTATTTTCAGACCTGTCACTGTTTGGGTGAGCCAAACAAAGATACAGCATGGCTGAATTGCACTGTAGTTATGTATAAGATCCTGAAATAGAATGATAGAGCATCCTATTGAAATGTAGGTGAACATCTAAAATGACCACTTTTGAAATTAGGGTATACAGTACTGAAGAATTTTAGTAAAACAGATTTCTTGTTTTAATAATGGATTTCTCAGTTTATTAGTCACCTAAGACAATGATGGAGCTCTGTCATGTACAGAAATGTGTTACCCCTTGGTAAAGCAGTTGTAAAGTTGGAGCTCTTTATTCACTGATGGTAGGGTTGACTATTGTGTAAGAATTTTGGTCTGAAGTGTCTCTCTTGTCAGGATATTTATAAATATGAAACATGGTCCAATAGATAAGCATGCCAGATTGATCACTTGGCACTAGATGTGTGTATTGTGTGTCAGTGTGTATGTGTTTAGTTGCTGATATTGTAAAACACTAGAAAACTCATGCTGGAGGTACAATTCAGAGCTGACATGTTGTCAGACCATGGCTGTTGTTATGGCCATTATGTTTAGCATAATTTAATAGAAACTTAGTTTCTTTTCTTTCTTTCTTTCTTTTATCAAACTTGAATACTGTTTGATCATTATGTTTAACCACGGATGTCACAGACTTCGAGAGACAGGTTTATCTTAATAAATAAGAGGGGTTAGTGTGTATGTCTGAATTTGTATGTGTCCACTCATTGTACTCGTTTGTAATTATTAGATTCTCCTTGCTGTACAAGATAGCATTATTGTTCAGGAAGTCAGTTTTACTGGAATCATGAGATGTTCACAGACTATGATCGCTACACGGGTTACAGCTTTAATTGCAACAGAATCAAAAGTCTCTATGTTAAAGGTGTGATTAAAGAAAGGATCAGTTGGTCATGCCAACTAATATTTGTATGTCTCCTAGAATTCAAAGTAAGTTATTTGAAAGGTGTCTTTACTATTTGTTGTCATGTGTGGAATTATCAGAAAAATTGCCACAAAATAATTCTCATGCACATCTGTTTGTCTGTCAGTCCATAAAATAAGTACTGTATCCTCTTTCAATCACAGTAGAAGGAAAAGATGTCTGAAGATTGTGGTTGCAGGGGAAGACAGTGACAAGTCTGAAAAAAAATGTCGGGTAGTATCCAAATCAATTACATGCAAGCACAGATTTGCTGTAATTTAATATAGAATGATACTTAGATTTATATCTAGTACAACTCAAAGGCAAAATAATTAGTAATAATATAAAAATAAAATAAACCAAATAGTGATAATTATATTAATTTGTTGTTTTAAGGATGTTCGATGCAAATGGCTTTAGAAGTGGAGATAGCAATGTATGTTAACAATAAGAATTTTTTAAAATTATAAACAAATTTCAAAAAGATCAACTAATCACTCTGTGCAATTCTGAAATTTTGGGCTACTGAAGGGAAAAAATAATGCTTAAAATAGCTATTGATTTTATCTTTCTCAAGCTCTCTTATTCTTTTATTAAGTCTGTCCAAGCTGAATTACACGTCATCAGATAAATATAGAAAAATCACCTCATTGCCCACTAGAAAGTTGAAACAAGGACAGGACTACACACATATTGTGTAATTTGTGATGGAAGTCTTTTGCTTTAAAGGCCATCCCTTGTCTTTAAGGGATTGTTTCTTATTCCAGAACACTACAGCTTCAGAAACATAATGGCCCCCACATTTTGGCACCTCTGTACTCTACAATGCTTTGCAGATAATTTCAGCTTGACAGTCCTTTCTGCTTTTGAAATTATTTGCAACAAAAAGTTTATTTTCTAACAAGAGATGTAGTTGTCTCAGACACTTAAAAAAATCAGTTCCCTGTCTTCAGCTCCTACAACAATAGCTTAGCACTTACATAATGCTTTACTAGCTTTATTCCCTTCCACATTTCCTGTTGGTCTCTGCCCTTATTTGTTTTATTTAAAAAAGAAATCAACAATTCGCCTTTTTCAAATTATTCTTAATTTTTATTATAATATTCATATTAGCTGCAAAACCTTGAAGTTTATTTTCATGTGCATAGATTCATACAGAAACAACATCTCATAACATTTTCAGTCTAATTCTGTGAACCTAATTGTAGGGTTTTTTGTTTTTTTTGGGTGATGCTAAAGTTGCCGTAAAAACATAAAGTAGTACTTAGATAAGGTACAACTTGTAGTTGGGATTGTAAGCAATTTAGTAAATATATCATTTAGCAGTAGGATAATGGCTGGCAACTCCAAAGATGTGTCGGTGAGTTTGAATGTGGCTGATTGATCCACCGATGCTTTCCCACTGAATGGCAAACTCTTGCCGTATACCACACACCACACTATTTGAAATGCTCACTCAGGTGTCGGCTATCGTGGGCACGGGAGTTCTGTCGAATTCAAAGTCCTTTTTGCATGCAGAAATGGCCATGCAAGCTCTTTGGATCTTAGCCAATTTATTATCATGGTCTGTTCTTCTTATAACCCTTCATGTAGTCTTTCACCTTCACTTCCTTTTGAAAGAGAAGAGTTTTAGCAACAAGATTTTTTCCCCCTGTGAAGTGCAATAGATATTTGGTGACTGAACCAATGTAATTGATGTCACCCATTGATTTTTTTTTTAAATTTGAGAACATCTTCAGTGAGCTCATGTTGCTTCAGTACTTTGCACTTAAGAATAATTATATTCACCTGGCATAATAAAGCAAATGGATCCTTCAAGGGTTTTTAATTTGCATATTAAATAAAGATATATTGTTTTCTCACTCACAGACCAAGATACAAAGTCTCACTTTAAATTTTTCTTGTGATGCTTCCTTTTTTAAGCTGCCTAGACAGAGAGATCCTTACCGGGGGTGGGGGGTGGGGAGGGGGGTGGTTCCAGCAAGTGCTGCACTACCAGTTTGTCAGAAATAATCTTTTAGTGCTAGGCAATGCTTTATTTTATATTTGTATATGAAGAAATGAACAAACAAGTTCTAATGAACTTCCATCTCCTATAGTGGTAGTAATCTCACTAGTACAATGACAAATCAGATTGAAGGAACACTAGTTTTATAGGACGACAGCTCTAAAATGGTTGAATGGTTTTGAGGAGGGTACAAAGCAACGCTATGGCAAGCGTACTGGTCTTAAATAAGTCATGTTTCTTCTTGGATTCAGTCCAGAAAAGTGGTACAATATGCAATATTACCAAGATTTGCTGTATTTGAAATGGAAATGCTAGTGGGACTGATAAAAACTTGACTGCAACATTTGAGTTAATGGATTAGGTTACATTTATCAATTTAAACCCTTTCAGATACTTTAAAAATGTGCTTAACAAGTTAAGAAATACATAATATGTGTGGGTTTTTTTATCAGATACATGAAAAACTACAGACATCTCAGAAAAGGAATTCAAGATCAAATCCTGGCAACATTTTGTGAGTAAATACCTAAGCATCAGGATCATGTTCTCTTTGAACTTACTCTACGAAAACTTTGAACTTGCTCTCAGTAGATAGGTCAGGAATTTTCCCTCCTCTTTTTTTTTTTGTAGTATCAAAAAGCACAGCCTCTTGTTTTTTTTGTTTTTTTGTTTTTACTATAACAAGTGGATCCAGTTTCCCATCTAGACTCTCTCCCCACCTTTTATTGTTCTTTTCCTTCTCTGTGTCCAATGATGCAGCAGAAAATATTATTAAATCTGTGGCCTAACAATACTAATATATAAACTAGATCTTTAAAAAAAAAAGAGTAGGCCCAGTTTACATGTTTTGCTGCTCTCGCTTGGTCATATGCGCACAAAACTGAATGGACATGAGCAGACAAAACTGATGGAGGATACAGCTGCTTAATCAGTTGGTCAAGATGGTCAGGAGAATCAGTGTCACATCAGGTATTTAATATGTGCCAGGTGCTGGGGGGAAAACAGCAGAAGGCACATTTCATAGAGTGCTGTCATGCATCATCCTTGCCTGTGCATCATCGCTCTAAGAGGCTGAAGTTATTTATTTTGATCTTCTTAGGGCTACATTTTCAAGGCACCTAAAAATGGTGCAGAATGAATCAGCCTGACTTGTAATATATGGCCATGGACAACAGATTTCTAGAATTCTTCTTACTGGCATCCAGACATAACTTAAAGTTGTATGAAAACAAATTTTTTCCTGTTGTTTTGTTCTCTATACTTTGCAACACTATTTATCACTAGAACAAACTTGATGAGGAGGAGCTTGTTCAGAAGAGAGAGAATCGTACCCTCTGTAAAATGTGTCTTTATATGCTGGATATGTTGGGCCAATATGTATGCATATATTCTTATTCAGTTATGAGTTATTCCGAACAGGTGGTATTGTCTGCACAGCATATCCATTAATATAATTTTGTTCACAAGAAAATATTTGGTTCAGTGAGCTTTGTGCAATTTTTTTTAAAGGCAGGACTAGTCTGATTTTAAAAAATGATAAAAATAAATTGATTATTTAGTCAAGTGTCTTGGTGGGTGATTGTTGCATTTTTTGGTGTCTCTTATATTCCTTGTCAAGCATGTTTGTACATCTCTTAGTATCTCAACTGATAAGATACCAAGCAATATTTTTCTTTTTCTTTTTCTTCTTCTGACAGTACTGAAAATCAGTCCAACTACAGCCTTTCAAAGGTACTTGCCAGAACACAAAGATTCATAATAAACTGATTCTACAGATGGTAGATCTATGATGTTTATGTCTCAAATTATTGTACTTCTTTTAACTTAATTTGCATGGTGTTTAGAACTGTATTACTTAAATGCTCTAAAACAAAGGAGCCCCTGACCAAAGCCGTAAAATCTGGATGAAAAGAGAGGAATGAGGAATCATGAGGAAATTTTGTCTACCCTACCAAAATTTATTTTTGAAATATGCTGTGACTAAGTAGAATACTGAAATAAATAATTTAGTAGGGGCAGCCTCCTCAAATCCCATTTTATTTCAGAGAGACTACTTTTCAAATTAACTCGGTGATTACAAAACCATAGTACAATTGTGATCTTTATATTGTCATCTTTCTGATAAATGCCTCCCCCCAAGGTCTGCGAATTACTGTTCCCAATAATGGATGCTAGCTATGCCGAAAACTCGGGATGTTTCTTTCCTAATATCAGAGTGAGAGTGAGAAATCAAGAAAACACATTCTGACTGACAGGAAAGAACTCATGTACTTCTTTTTACAACAATGTTCTTTATTTATTGACTACTCTTTCCTTTCCCTGGATTTGAAGCAAACAATTTTCCGTCCCCACAGTTCATTGCTATGAGTTGCTGCGAGTACCTACAGATGTTTAATATGATGGGGTGCTTATTGATAAATCTGTTGACACAAGGCATGATGCTGTAAGAGCATGAAAGAAAAGGTACCCTCACATCTCTGACATGTACTTAAGGATCACGAGGCCTTAAAATCAAGAGTGCCATTCAGAACCAGACTAAATGACCAGATGAATCCTGACAGAACAGAAGAACTAACTGAAATGTTCCCTTTTATTAAGTGGCACATTTTGAACATAAATGAACAGACTTAGTTTGCAAAGAAAACACGTTGGTGGTTTAGGGGCAAGTATAACTATCATTTTAAAATTTCTCCTCATGAAAAGCTGATGAAAAAATTCCTACTGACTGGGATTTACCCTGTAAAACACTATAATATAACCTTGTTTCGAAATATCTCATGAATGCTGGGCAAAAGGAGACAAGCAAGTACAGTACTGTCTTTAGCTGGCACAAACAATCTTGCCACCAACCACTCTTTTAACTAGAAAGGAAGAAGCTATATACAGTATGTGCAACTGTAAATGTCCTGCTGTTTCTTCAACCAGTACTCCAAAACCTAATAATAAATATACAAAAGCAATTATTTAATTTAAAAATTACAATTCAATGCCATCTATAATAAAATAAGACTAGAAAGTGAAACAGTAATATAACTGGAGAAACATTGAAACCTGCAGAGAGAAACTGAGTTCAGCTTTCATCAAAAACAGCTTAGAGAACCCAGCCTAACCCAGTAAGATATATACAGTATTTTTATTTAGACAAGTCTGTGGGATCTAAGGCTTTGACTACATGGTAAAATACTGCAGAATTTGCTGTGGATATAAAATGGATGAATTAGCTTCCTATTTTTTAAAGTGATTCACAGAATGTAAAGGCCAGTTTGAATCACTCTGTCCCCTTTTGTTCCTGATGTAGAGTTTTTCTCTCTGCTACTTGGGAGGCTTTGAACAGTGGTTTTTCTCCCTTGTCATCCAAAGTATTTCAGTTTTTTAAAGAATTAACTACCAAGTTTAGTGCTAGATCACCTTATCAGTACATTGATAAATTAGTTTGGCACTAGATCAGCTCTGCACCAACAAAAAGAAAAAGAAAAAGATTGATATGAAGTAGAAATAATTCTGTACTGTGTTTCTACTGTATGTACGTATGTGTTTGTACATTATGGAAAACTGTCCCTGTTCTCTAGCACCAGGCAACATTTTAAGCAGCCCACTAGCTTTACAATGAACAATAAAAGGAGACCCGGTGACTGGCAGACAGCAGGACTAAAGGAAGAGAGGTTGTGGGCTGTGGTGTGGATCAAATCACATCAGACCGAGAGGCCAGTGTGGAGTCTGGCACCGAAACAATCCATGGGCTTCGTGTGATCATCTAATCCAGACAGAAGCAAGAAATAGGCTGGAAATCAAGCTGTAGAAAAGCCAAACCACTCAGGTTCTGTGTAATCACAGCCTCAGTTAGTTTACAGTTGTTTCCATTTTTTTGTTGCATTTTTATTGCCTTTGCCTTTTATTATGCTTTTAATTAAACTACTTTTATAAGTTGAATTTTACCGTTGTTAACCACCTTTAGTGTCACAAGGGCAGGGGAGAAAGGCAGAATATAAATCTGATAATTAACAAACCCAGTAGGAATATCAGTACTTCAGGAACAGCTGATACATAACTCATATTAACAATTGCTACATGAAACCACGTTTCTGGTTCCATCACCAGAGGATGGAAGGATGGATGTGTCTTTGTCGCAGTCAAGTTTATTTAGTGACCATTGTAACTGGTTTTGGAACTGCTACCTTGAGCCAAGGAGTCAGACAAAGGAGGAAATTACAACATTCAGAAGCTCCGGCTTGTGCAGAGGTTTGCCGCAGATATTCTACTTCCTCTTATGCATGTTCAGATGCTTGAGAGATTCATCTCCCTTCTGTGCATGTTTGGTTTGATAAATGTACTATGCTTTTGGAGCTTTTATGGAATGACTACATATTAAGTGTCCAGTTTAATCTACGAAACTATGAAACTGTGCAGAAAGCCTCTTATTACTATGATGGGCACTGGGTAACAAATGGTTGCATTGCCTCCACCCCCCCACCCCACCCCCCCGCTGGAATCCTGACCACAGCTGGTCAAGCAAAAGAACTAAATCTGAAAGCAAATTAAAACAAACTCAGGCTAGGGAATACTGTGCAGCATTGCAGGGAAGAATCCCTGAAAGCACATTGCTTCCCCTAAAATTTGCTGCACATGTTAAAGTTTCCCTCAGGCAGCACGTGCATGACATTTATTTATTCATCAGATAACCTAAACTGACAGTAACCTTGCCATCAATACTGGGGCAATAATGACAAAGGGATGAGCTATTTTTTAAACAATGTCTTCCTAATGTACTAGGTTTGGACAGGCTTTTCTTGATCACCAGGCATGCATGCCATTTTGGCCCAGGAATTTCATTCATGTATAAATGTGTTCACTACAGACCGGTAAAATATAAAGAGTCCAGTGCGAGTCTCTCTCCATTTAGGCTTTTTGTTTCCTATTGTCACTCTTACTGTGTCCCAAGGCAATGATGTAGCATAGAAGAGCCTTGTTCTTTTTTTCCAAACTTTTGCTTCGACTCTGTGTGCATGTGTCTTTTTTTCCTTAGTCCCTTTAGTGTTGCAGGCCATAGAGGGTTAAGAAGTTCTTGTGCCCATTGGTGTGCAGGCGACAGTGTGTTTTCCTTTGCTCTTTTCCCTCAAAGTTAAAATGATTGTTTAGCCTTTTGGCCCATGACTCAAGAGTAAACAGTTTTCTTGGCAGCAGACGATGAGGCAGCAGAAGCTCCTCTGAGCTGTGGGTAAGTGGATGCACCTGGCACATGGTCTGGAACAGAGGAGAATTCTCCCACACTGGTGCATGAAACCACCCATTTCACAAACAACCCTGCATTGACAAAGGCTCCCTCTGTCACACGTTCTTCGGAAACTGGCAGTGGGGGCTGATGGAAGATTCTGAAAGAACCTCTGGCCACAGTGATGAATTCAGCATTGCTGGGAACCTGCATGAGAATTCAGCTCTAAACCAAGAGGAAGGAGATGGCCTCGTACCAAACGAAAAGGGATGATGCCGGATTCAAAATATGTTTCCAGAAATATAACTTGCCACAATTCTTTAGAAGAATCACAGATCAGTCGAAGGTATCTTGTGTCTTTCAATTCTAGCCATAGGTGCTATCCAAAAGATCTAGAAGAGATTACTGTACAGTATACAATTTTGCCAGGATACAAAGGATTTGATGCATATATTAGATATGAGTCTGAATGCAATACCAAGCTCTTCCCAAGTTAACCCACACAAAGAAATTTTTTTAAAAGTATTGTTCCCTTCTCACTGGGAAGCAATAGCAATTCTTGCCTGCCTGCCTGCCTGCCTGCCTGCCTGCCTGCCTGCCTTCCTTCCTTCCTTCCTTCCTTCCTTCCTTCCTTCCTTCCTCTCTCTCTCTCTCTCTCTTAGTACCTATGGTAGCAAAGCTTTGAGATCATGAGCGCCGATGTTTCTTTGAGGCTTACACAGTTGGTATGGAGAATAACAAATACTGTAGTTGGGTTTTTGTTTTGTTTGTTTTGGAAAATAACAATGATTTTGCAAAACCTAGTAAGTAGAAGCGGAAGATCAGAATGAAAGTACAGTACACTGGACAAAACATGGCACAAAGTGGTAGTGCAAATCATAGGTAGAGGTTGTGAAAAAAAGGAGCGTGTTCATTGAGCAGACTATGGACATGATTCTCTTGTGTCAAACCATTCATGCAGGAGACCATTACATCAATGGTGTGGCATTTTTGCCACTCATGAGGCATCCAAGAGGTCACTGTGCAAGTACAAGTTATATCATTTCCATGGCTGTAATAGCCAGTAGCTGTGGTCCTGTGTTAATAGACCAGTATGGCTTTTTTGCTCCCACATTAGGATCTTGGCTGACTTTTATATGTTTGGACCATTTAAATGTTAATATTCTTCGTTCATGTCAGAAGCAATCGAATGATACTTCCAGAATGAAGGGATCAGCTAAAAGGATGCTCTCGTTCCTCAGGCAATGCCTGGATATGATCGCAATCCTTACCTTATTTGGAATGCTCCTTCTGTGTCTCTCAGTGTTAATGCCATTAACATACAAAAGATTTATTATCCTCTGGCATTTTATTTATGGGAAAAATGATGATTGGTCAGTTTCTATGATTAGTTTTATTATGGAAGAAAATAATATGAAAGCAGCTTCATTGCTAGTGCTAAGACCCTTCCATTTGGAAGATCTGGGCTGCAGAAGACATTGTTTCATAACATAAGTTGTTGCCATGTCATTTTTAATGTGTATTTTAATGCTATTATATATTTTTTAAAAATGTCTAATAACTTTTGAATGATTCATGTATTTTAATGATTTGCAAGTCCCCTTGAGACCTGCCACCTGGGACAAAGGTAACGTAAAAAATGCAATTAAATAAATAACCATGGGAATACTTGTGTCCTATTCCCTCTTTCTCTGAAGCCTTTAACATCACCTTTTTTTCTTATTCCAGACTGTTGTTCAACTTCCTGGAACAGAACTAGATCTGATGTACTGTAACCAAACCTCTCTTACCTAGTTACACTGATACCGCACAAATGGTATAATCTTCAGAGATAAATTGCCCTAAATTAAGAAATTGCAGTAGATATTGTTGGTGGCATATGAGTACTATGACTCAATTTGCCACTGATAATGTCCACAGTGATTTCTTAAGTTGGAGTAACTTGCCTCCAAAAATTACTCCATTTGCATGGCTATGGAAGAGGATTTTGACTTGTATTTTGTAATGACTTTCAGTGCGGAGGTAAGTGTGCTCCTTTCTGGTTAAACACTGAGGAATGTACAAGGGGCCTGTATTAATTTGCAATGACATTTTCTTCCTCTCATCCCCCAGTAGTGTCATTTATTGTTTTCTTGAACAAATATTAAAGATCTCTCTCATTTCTTCTTCTCCTGGGCTGTATTTTCTTGACCTGGGTGCTGCACCAATTTCCAATGTG